ACCCTCTCCCCCCCCCCCCCCCCCCCCCCGCTCTCCTTAGTAGCAAACATGTGGGCCCTTACTTTCCAGTTTCTAAAGGGCATTAATGTTTTACACAACCTATGAAGAAAAAATACATCAGTATGGAATGCCGAGTAGCAGTATATTTTCTTAAAACTTCAGCTGTGTATATTTCACTATTGCTGCTCAAAATGAGCTTTTTAATTATTGTTATTCCTTTAGGTTCCCCAAACGCCCTTTTCTATCTACGCCTTTGAATTAAACTCATAACATATGTATATTTTAAACTAGTTAATGAATTTTTTTCTTATATTATTTTAGCCAGTTTTAAAGACGAACATTGATTTACCAAAAAAGCTTAATTAATAAAAGTGAATTGAAAATTATCTTTGTTATTTTTACGGGTTTTTGTTATCACCATTTTTTTGCTTAATTTAACAGCAAACCCAAGTTGCACGCGCAAATGTTTGAGTGGTTTGTGTGGTAGCACCAGTGGAGGGGACATTTGCTATTGTCCAAACAATAAAGTACTGAGAGGTGACACCTGCGGAAGTAAGTAAACACGTAATGTCCTCAAATATTTTGTAGTAGTACTGATAGTGTGAGGGTGGGGTGAGGAAGAAAAGATCGCCCTGGTATAGTTTTGTGAAATCACCACACACAAGTCCAATTCAAGATACACTAACATGATTTATTATTCAACATACATCAATTGTTCTACCCTTACCTAACTAGTGTATACTATATACCGCCTACTAACACCGATTTGTTCACTGTGTTTCGAATCAGCTTTAGTTTTAAGAAATGTATTGCTTATTAGGTGTTGCTTTAGTTTATTTTGATTGTAAAATAAGAAGCAAAAATGTATTTTGATTCAACAGCATGTCCTACGATGACATATGGCGTAAACTGTGAAAATAAATGCAAATGCAATCTTGCTAAAACAAGTTCGTGCAATCCAAGGACTGGACAGTGCATATGTAAGGCAGGATGGTATTCAGCTGACTGTAGCCAAGACGTTGATGAATGCTCCCTAAGTCAATACCTTGGTGTTTGTAACGCTGTTCCAAATCGACGTTGTTTAAACACTGTCGGAAGCTACAAATGTGTATGTCGTGGTGGATATGATCAAAAACCTGCTGGTTGTATTAAAAAAGGTAATAACGGTAGAAAAGTTATAAACTGACTATATATATATAACTATATAACTATATATAACTAAATATGTAACTATATATATAACTATGTATATATATGTATATGTATACACATACATACATACATATATATATATGTATACATATAATATATATATATATATATATATATATTTAATATATATATATATATATATATATATATATATATATAGCTTAAAATTTCCGAAAGCCGTAAATACATAACCTTGTCGGTCGCAAACAAATCTTAGACCCATAAGGGCACTAATCGTAAACAATTTGTTTGAATTTTTTATTTTACTTTATGAGGATTTCAAGGCAATGTTAAAAGGCTCTATTTATTAAAATTATGGGACAGTAAAATTGTTATTTTATGATACTCACATTGCTGGTGCTCATTTAACTTGTATGTTGCCTTTTTTTTAGTTTGAAAATGACATTTTCGAAAGCTTATACCCAATGGCTTACCAAATACAATTCCCAACTAAATAAAACACAATAGTTGCAAAATGTACTAATTTGACGTCAGCCAACCAGTTTCACATATTTAACTGTTTTCTGAAATTTAAATTTCTTTGTAAGCGTGTTGAAAATGTAAACAGTCCATCATGACGCCAGATATTTTCTAATAAACACCATCGTGAATCATCTATTAGAATTCCTTTTTTAAACTTGCCTAAAGGGCAAGAAAAAAAGTGTAGATGCATAGTGTATTGAAAGTTCTTGTTGTAACGTTGTTAGAGAACTATAGTGCCTTCTTTATCATTTTAAGTTGCATTTTTCTTTGTAAATAAATCAAGTAATGAAAAGTTTTCAAATTTCTCTATTCCATCCGCCATAATTGAAAAGATTTTAAAGTGGTTTGAAGAAGTAAAAAAGGTATACATTAAAAAACACTATGCGAAAAATAAAATCAGTACTATGTTCTCCTAACTATCTACAGTAATTTCCTGGTTGAATACTTAACCTATCCACCCACGCATTACTGTCACCCCTCACGTTGGACATCCCTGAACCGATTTAAATTTAATTTAGTCAGAAAACGTGTAGTCTACTGAGTTCCATATGCTTATAAAATAGTTTCCTGTGATATTTCTAATCGTATCCAAGATTTATAGACGATTCTCATTACAATGATATACATTGTTGTTCAAGAGGCTGCGACTCTGAGTGTTAGGTGTTTAAGAAATAAACAATAGCGATTTAAGTCCGCCGTCAACAATAACTGTAACTTAACGTAAAACAGTTGTCATTTTGTGGTTCCTTAACCCTTCCCCTGCCTACTGAATAGACCCATATAATAACTTGTTATTGCGAATTTTAATTTAAGCGTACTACCATCTCAGCATTATGTGCATTGTTTAAGTCTTCAGAAATGCATACATTTTCTAAATTTTAACATTATTCTTTTAAGCTTGTGATTCTAAACTTAAGACAAATGGTATTATAAAACTTGCAAGTCGTCCGTACTGGCCAAATGCTGAATGTTCATGGATGATTCAGACAAAGGATACAACTACTGTCCTTTTAAAGTAAGTATTTAAATAGACAATTCATAAAAAGTTGTATGGGTGGCTCATAAGATTCAAGACAAATGAATTGATTATTTATTTAAACAATTTTTTTTAGATTCACGACGCTTGAAACGCAAAGTGGACGCGATTTTGTTTATTTTTATGATGGCCCTGACGCAAAGTCGCAACTACTTGCAGTCTACAGTGGATCCCAAAAATTCAAATTTCCAATAAGGTCAACGACCAATAAGATGTTTATTAGATTCACCTCAGATGATTCTATAGAAGCTAATGGACTTGTTGGAACCGTGATGGAGTCTAGTAAGTAAAACGTATTAGAATACTATTTGAATTAAGTTTGGAAATAAAAGTTACATGTAATCTCTAAATATGACATCGTTAACTTGTTACACATGAAACATTTTCACAAAGCCTGCTAGACTTAGTAGTTTTAGGCAGATATAGAATGTAATTTATCAGTGTGTTGATCCGTGTTCACAAAGAGACACAGTAAGTTTTTTTAGACTGCAAGCACACACAAGATTAAAATATAAAATGTGTTCATCTTATTTGCCCATTAGAAAAATAAGCCCCGTCACAACCATAAAAGCATACTCATAAATTCATGGCCCAAACGATGAGCTACACATCATAGGACCATTTGGATACAAATAAAATTAGTTTTATGTTTGTTCTTCAGATGTAACATGACTGTAAATTATGTAAATTTTACAGGCTCTAGTAATATGTAAAAGTGCTTAATTAAGCACACGTTACGAAGTAGCGTAGTTATAAAGCTTATTAAAACTGTGAAAATACAAAACAACAAGCATAATAAGCCGATTTATTTCCTTAAAAATATTGCATTAATTTTCAGTAGTAGTTAGAAATGTATTAGTAATTAATTATAATTTGCAGATTATCTTCCCAATTGCGTAAAAAGCATCGCAGCAGGATTGAACCCCATTACTATAGCACCTCTGAGAACCACGGAAATATTTTGCTACTGGGCCATTAGTGCACCAGTTGGAAGCATAATATCGATCAGGTTATTATATACTATTACTTTTTTTTTAAAATAGTTTCTTTCTTACACACTATCAATTAATAAAAATGAAAGAATTTAATCCTACACAATTAAATGAAGTAAATAGTACCTTTGTTTGCGTATTCGTAAACATAGTGCTATTTTTACTTTCTCGTATATACGAAGTATAAAGTATTGTAATCGTGCAAAAAAAAAAATCGAGATTTTTTCAAATCTCGACGTTTTACACCTCACTGATACGGAAAAACATAATTTTGCAATCTTGTCCGTATGTCTGTGCGTCTGTCTGTGTGTGTGTGTGTGTGTGTGTGTGTAAACACGATAACTTGAGTACCGTTACAGCTAGGTTGATGAAATTTCATATATAAGTATATTATCGAAATCGTATATCCATGTCCACTTTTGAGCGATTTCCAATAACCGGAAGTGGTACCTTTTCTACTTTGAATTTTTCAAAAGCCTATAACTTGAGTACTATTTCAGATAGATAAATGAAACTTCACATGTAAGTAAAAGATCTAATTGTCTACCTTCTGTGAAATTGTGAGTAATTTCTGTTGACCGAAAGTACTAATTTACGCTATTTCCGATTTCTCAAAAAACGCATGTAAATTTATAAAGTACTAATAATATTGCGCACTATTATGCACATCTTTATTTGGCGTTCACTTGGTGTGCAATTCTTTTTTCTATGAGATTCTATTCTATTTTTAAAAGTTTAAGTAATTAAAAATCATGTCTATATTCCAAGTTATATAAGAATATTCGAGAAAGTTTAGGGGAGATCACTCCCGGTTTATTTTTTCTTAAAACTGATTTTTTTTCAACAGTTTGACGGAAAATAAATGCATATTTCTACTAATTTTAAAAATGTATTAAAAATATAAAAATCTTTAAATCTTGCTTTAGTAACTGAAATTATTCTCTTGTTTATGCATATCTAGTGTCAGCTCTGCAAAAACTGAAGTTACCTGCCTAACTTACATAGCTATATACGTGGGAACCTATCCAGGAGCCCCACTGTATGATAAAATCTACTGTGGCACTACGGTTCCTCGACTAATCCGAATTCCTGGTCCAAATGTGTTTATTGTTTACCAGTCAGAATCGAAATCACGCAACTTGGCTTTCGTGGCAAAAGTAAATTGTAAGTTATTTGAATATTTTATTTTCTTAACAATGCATTCTACATAGCCTTAGACATAAACACGAATAAATGCGCAGACGCGGACATGGACAAGGTCAAGGTCATGTCACGGCATGGCCATAGCCATAGACACAGTCACGGGGATCAGCACGGGCACTGACACGAACAGAAACACAGACACAACCACAAACACTGACAAAGACTTCTGTTTTTTTTTCCTTTTCTTTTATTATGTAGATACATTTTCTTCTCTTCACTGTAAAGGAAATAATATTTATTTTCTGTAACTACAAAATAATGTTAAAATGTCTACATTATCTACAGATTGTCCACCGTTTCATTATGGCACTCTTCAGTGTAATACTCCGTGCCTATGCAAGGTGGAAAACTCAGTATCATGCGACAGTGTTACAGGCGCATGTGTCTGCAGATCTGGATGGACAGGCGCTAAGTGTGATGTCGACATTGATGAATGTCTTACAGGTACCCACTCCTGTGTAGAGACGGAAAAGTGCACCAATATACCAGGGAGTTTCACATGTAGTCCAGGTACATATATTGTGTAACGTTTAGCATAGAAAATTAGCCTAATAATGTCTCAATCCTTAAGACACAATGGAATAACGTAACTATAATTATTGTTTAATAATGATAACTGTCACACCCTGTTTATACAGCCAACTTCATGGCACAAACTAAAGGCAAATACAAACCGCATCACTGTTGTGTTATTATATTTTAAGGCCTGATAGATAACGCCAAACAACCATTATCCTGGGGATAATTTTTACAATTTTAGTGATATCACGGATACAGCAGCTACACTACCAAAAACAACGCCTTTCACCTTCAATCTCCCGCACTTCCACATTTCTTTTGCGCATGCCCCTGCCCACAATGTTTTGTCCATTTATATTCCTACATATCCGTTTCACACCTCCACTCGTAACATACATTCACCCCACACAAATACTCCCACATTTGACTGTTACAATAACAATATTATATTTTGTATTGTCCACATTGATTTGAGCGTTCTTTCTTATTTGGAATAAATATATTGCTGAAGTGGGACCAGTACAACCATTCGTTGCATGTTTGGTGGCATTTTGAAATGTATTTACCGCAGCTTTATGTGCAATCTGCTGCTCGCATGGTTAGGAGCAAAAACAATTTCATAAAAAACGTTTTAATAACAAGCTTTTAAGTAATAATGCACGAAAAAGTAGAAAATAAATTCAACACTACTATTTAAAGAACTATAAAGAAAAGCGTGCGTCACTTTAGTATCTATTGGATACCTTTACTAATATTTAGGAAGATCACGTAATCAATATGCATCTACTGTGACTTACTTTCTTAGTGTCAAACATACATTACGGGGCGGATGGGGACAGTTTTAGAAGTAAGGTCGACGAAGTGTCTTGTGGATGAGGGCAAGCGTTTCAGGATCATGGATAGTGAAGGCGAAATGTACTTATTTGTTGACTCGCATGTGAGCTTTCCCGCTTAAAACCAGACTTTACGGAGATCAGTACAGTATGGAAGGGGCACATTTCGTGTAGCACGAGATTTTTGTGGTAATGAGAGATTATGGCGAGATAGGTGGAGAAAAATAGTGCGTTCTATGTGCTCTTCTATAGTCTTTTATTTAAAAGTCTCATAATGTAATCAAATTTTTCTGCACAGATTGTGATACCACCTTATCTCCCATCCTGGTTAATCAACAGCAGGTTAAGATAGATAGCGGAGTGATCAAGACACATAAATATAACACATACCCTCTCTATCGAGCTCAGTGTAACTGGTTCATTACTGGAGATCAGGGAGATGTGATAACTTTTCAGTAAGTTTGTTTTCGCTAGTTGTTCACACAGAAGACACACCCGCGATTTGTGATCTTCTAAGTAAGAAATGTTTTATCTTCAATTCAGGTTATAGAAGTTACAATGCTAAAAGTAAATCACACAAACTTCATTCTTTTCTAAAAGCATAAATATAAACAGGAAAAATTATTATTTTTTACAATATTTTTAAAAACATTTCTTATTAAAAAATAATATTTTTTTTTGTAAAAATAATATTAAATCAGACTATATTTAACATAAGTCTGAAACTTAATAAGATGTTAAATAACTCAAAACATAACCATTTTAATCTTTTATAAAGCAATTTATAACGTTTAATCATGAAGTTGATTATAAAAACTACATTATCTACTTTTGAAATGTTTTACTAGTGTGGAAGACGGAAACTTTCAATTGGTAGAAAGAGCCTATTGCTACGAAGACACCCTGAACATTTTTGACGGGGGATTAGGTACTGACCAACAGATCGGACAGTACTGTGGCACTAAGATTCCTCGCTTGATCAGAACAGAAACAAATGCAATGATTCTGCAGCTTCGAACAGCCTATGGGTATCACACAGGCTTTACAGGAAATTATTATATACATCGTGAGTTGAAATAAATTTTGGTTATTCTTAATAAAAGCTTTTATATTACTAAATATAAAAAATCGAGTTGAGATATATCACAATTAACCACAATCTAAACGAGTATAATATATACATTTTAGATTTTTTCTTCACACTTACACAAGTATAATATATATTTAATATGAAAGCTTACATAATATATATATATATATATATATATATATATATATATATATACAGAGAGAGAGAGAGAGAGAGAGAGAGAGAGAGAGAGAGAGAGAGAGAGAGAGATTAATGTATAGATTAAGATTCTACATAAAACTACATTATATTAAGTATTTATTTCCAATGTCATATATGTATCCGTTAATTTCTTTGATTTTATTTAAGTAAAACATTTATAATAATTATAAATTTGCTACTCTCTTTCGAAAGTGGCTGCAGTACACTATGCTTAAATGTAACAAAGGAATACTTAATTATTCTCCTAACGTTTTCCGTCGCTTTCTAATGAAAACGAGATCTATCAAAGTTAGGCAAGTACTGTCCATTCAGTTTTTTTCTTAGGTTGATACAATATATATGCAGATTGCTATGGATTTCTCATTAATTTTAACTGCCAAGCTGCTCAAAAACGTTCGTTACCCCAGGAGGCACATCAAAGACAGATTTCCTGATCAAACTAATTGGGACCTTTTGGCTCAAAACTTACGACTTTTTTTTACAATTCAATATTGCTGTTTTTACAATTACGTTATAGGTCTACATACATTTGTAAATCAAGTAATATATTCAACAAGTAACTATTCGTGCAGTGGTTAAATTATACATTGCTTTTTAAAAAACTGTATTATATATATTATTTTTTTTTAAAACACAGTCGATATGAACTTATTATAATAATTATGTTCACATATCGGTGATATTTATTACATACTTACATTCTGTTTTCGTTTGACAAACAGCTTGTCGACCATTCACTTGGGGAAAAAAATGTGAATACGACTGTGGCTGCAAGCAGGTAAATACAGAATTTTGCGACAGCACCAAGGGTATCTGCGTATGCAAACCCGGGTATACCGGTACTTACTGTGATAATGACGTAGACGAATGCTTATCTGTGAAGTGCAAGGACAATGCTGTATGCACAAATACACTGGGTAGCTACAGTTGCGCATGTCGGGAGGGTTACAAGGAGAATTCATTAGGAATCTGTGAAAGTAAGTATGAAAATAAAACACATTTCTTATGTCGATTTCTTAATCTACTAGTCGGTCAATGTGGCTAAAAATATATACTAATTAAGATAAGCAAACGGAAAATAAATGTAGGTTACACAAAGAGGCGGTTTGTCTCAGGAAATGATGTACACAACTGCCATTTCTATTATAGATATGGCGATTGATAACAATATTGGTTTGCTCTTTAATAATTTACACAATGGGTGAGTATATCAGAGTAAGACTAAAATATTAATGCTGACATACAGAGGTATTCCAACTCAAAAGGTAGACAGAGGTAAACACTTTAGCCCTAGAAATGACAGATCAGTTTTAGCCAGACTCTACAGAGCTTAACACGCAGCACCGTCAGAAAAAAACATTTCTGATTGTCAATTTTTACAGCTCGCACTAGTGTGACGTATACAGGTCTATAAAACTCCACAATATTTACTTCTGAATATGACATAGGCACACATATATACATTGATGACGATTTAAATACATACTAACTTTCTTAGTAATATTGGGTAGATTTTTAGAAGGGCTGGAAGCAGGCGTTGTTGCTTAACTAGCAACATATTTGAGTTATTATATAACTGTTTAGTTTGTCTGAAATTCTTCCTAAACCTTGGTTTTAAATAGTGCTGTAATTGCAATAGCCTAATACAACTTTCCATATGACCTTGTTGTATCGTTGAAAGTCAGTCACTGCCTCTCCACGCATGCCAATAACACGGCTTTGAGCAGTGTTTCTTCCAGACTTTTTTCTCTGGGGGGGGGGTCACTTGATATTTTCGGGGGTGGGGGGACGGTCAAGATTTTCTTGGGGGGGGGGGGTGGGGTGGGGTGAGCGGACACTGGTAAAAGCCCCGAAGAGATGCCCGGAAGAAACTTTGAGTCCATCGTCTCTCTCGACGACATATATCTTGAAAATATTACGAACACATGAAAGCCATTTTATACTTTGTTGGCTCGAACTTCTGGACCACGTGCAAATGTTAGATATGTTTGCAGTGCACTAGCCATGCTTTTTTACATATGGTAAATGAAAAAAATTGATTTGACAGCGGCTTTATTTCATACCTGAGCCATGTGTTTCTGACAACGCCATTCTAATAATATATGTAATATTATGTATGTCATATGTAAATACAGCTAATTTAAACTTTAATTTGTATATATATATATATATATATATATATATATATATATATGTATATATAATGTATATATATATATAGTTATAGTATATATATATATACTTTATATATATATACATATATATATATGTATATATGTATGTATATATATATATATATATATATATATATATATATATATATATATATATATATATATATATATATATATATATATATATATAAATTTGTTTATGAGTATATGTGTTTCTTTTGTATATTTTCTAGTTATCATTACGACGTGCACATCTGCCATAACGTGCATTCCTAATAAAAAGGAATGCTTCACCTTAAATGGCAGAGAAAGCTGCTTATGTCCTGAGGGAACAATTGATGTAGCAAGAACAGGCAATATCCATTACTGTAGCAGTAAGTTTTTTAATCCATACACAATAGCACATCACAAAGTGTTTGAGTACAGCCCCTTTGTTAAAGTTAAGCCGTGTATATTTATACACCTATTTTAAATCTCCTACCAGAGGCGTAGCGACCCTTCCCGTCACCCCGGGTCAAAACTCTTTCAATTCACACCCCCCCCTCAAACTTTTGATTTCCACCCCCTTTGCACCCCCCCCCCCCTTCAAATTTCGATTTGCACCCCCCCCCCCCCTCTAACTTTCGATTTCCAGCCCCTTCAACCTTTCGATAATGTTTATGAAAAAAATTCTGTCTCTGTCGAATAATGAGAGGCGGGCACATACGAATCGTTCGGCGGGCGCCATGGCGCCCGCGGGCACGGGGTTGGGAACCCCTGATGTAGAGAGATTAATGTGATTAAACACAAGACATAGATTAAGAGCAAATGATTTTTTTTTGTATTTTCAGTCCCTTTGTATCCTTATGGTAATACAGCAAGTGATTCCAAAAAATCAAGGGGTACTTTTGGTACTGTAACTTACAATGAAGCTGTTCCTTTTGGGACGACTTCTGTAAACAATGCATATGTGAGTTATTTGATACGTATTAGCGAATTATATTTATAATGTGTGCATTACTATGTTTTTATAATAATTAGCTAGGTCCGAACATAGAACATAATGTAAGTCACATCTTTTTTGTTCTATCATATAATTTCTCTATACGTAAATAATACACATGTGTCAAAAGAGTGATACACGTTATTCGATTAGTCGATTCATTATAATTGTTTACACAAAATACACTGTTAAATTACCATTTTGTTTGATTTATCTTTCAAATACAAACCCATTTGATCCTATTTACTTAGAACATTAAGTGATATGTTTTAAAATATCAACCTTTCGATCGTCTAATACTTTAACACACGCGAAATACATGGTCACCACAACGCAGGGCAATTTAATGTAAGGTATTCGTGTGACGTTATAATTAGCAATCCTGGATAATTGGCATTGTAATTTGGATCATCTTTTTTTATTCTGACTATACATATACACATATTATATAACAGTGCATTCTTCCAGCAAGACCCATCTATTTCATTAGTTACACATTTTTTCTGTTGCAGATTCATCTCGAAGGAGTGATAAGTTTAGATAACTCTGACAAAAATGCTGATGGGGTTTTCTTAATAAAACCTTTTAAAACTAGCATATCTGAGGAAGGCTGTGATATATATTATCACCTGTATGAGAAATGCGAGCCTTCTGTATTTTCTGAAGCATCTAGTATCTCTTCACCTGAAAAGCAGACAGTAATGAACAGAGCCAAAAAGGATATTATCAGAGAAGCAAAGCTCACAGACTTTGATGTCAAAACTGTTTTAGTGGTAACATGGGAAAACGTTAAATATGCTGTAAGGAAGTTTTCTAACTCAGTGAAACTAGTTATAATTTATACCTTTTAAATTTAAATTTATTTTATTTAAAACAGTGTGTTAATCCATCTCTTTACAAAGTATGCATTTTTAGATATCAAAAATTGTATTTGTAAATTAGCAGAGGAACGCAGCAAAAAGAAACACGTTTCAAGCAATTTTTGTAAGCGGATTTGCAAAAGAATCCAGCGGTGATTTTTCTGGTATGTTATTTTACAACATAGTACTATTACAATACGACTCCAAGTGATAGAATGATAATTTTGTTTGAAACTGCACTCTGTGTTATCCCTAATTATAAAAATTGTAACAGTGTGTTGTGGATAGGAAAGAAATTCTTTAGGACAAAAAAAAACGTGCCTACTTGCTAAAGTTTTCCATAACGCATTAAGGTTGTTTGCTTTTCACTTTCTTGCTGTCAGAGAGAGAGAAATAGAGGAGACTTTTCAGACATTATTTCAACCTTAAGTTCATTCCCTAAAATACAAACAAAATAGTGTAGCGATGTTTACCATGTTCTGTTATATAAAATCCGTGTGACTTACACTTTGTATTTAGAAGTATTCGTTTAAAGTAATATACGTTTTCAACTGCAATTCATATGTTTTGTGTTTTTATATAATTTTATTCAATTCGATGCCTCGGTTAATTTTACTTGCTTCATCAAACATGAATGGGGCAAACTTACAAACGGAATTTCACCCGTGGTAACATTTTAAATTGCACTAATAACACACTTTCTTTTTTTTTTAACTTTCAGCAATAGAAACCTCTTATGTGTTATACATCTACCCCAATAGCATGGTAAGCTGGTGCTATAACACTGTTGAGGTAGGCTACTTCGCAGGTTCAGGATTCGAAAAAGTCATCATCCTTGACCCTGCTTGGTTTAACTCAGGTAGATCATAATATTGAAATGAATTAATTTTCTTTGATAAATAACTTCTTTTTAGCGTCTGTAATAGTTGCGATTGGATTTTAATATATATGCATGACTTACGAAAATTTTAAATGTTAGTGGTATACATTCGCAATCGCACTGTTCAATAAATAACTGAGGTTCACAAATGTTGTATTTATAATTTAAATATGAGGCAAAGTTAAAAAAGGTTAGTTTTTTTAATAAAGAAATATTAGAGAAAGAAAACTGATCAGATTTAATGCTCTTTTTTGTCATGTTAGTCATTGACTCAGAGTTTGGCTTGGAAAACAAACGTAGCTATAATAGAAAACCTATCTACTAACTCTTACATAAAAATATTTAATCTTATATTAAATATGTTTTTAAATATCACAGGTGAAGGTGCTAAACAAATTAAATTCTTTAAAGTAAGTGGATTACCACCACCAATACCACCACCAACTCCAAGTCAACAATGTGAAAGATTCGTGTGTAAAAATAGCGGTCTGATAACAAACGAGAAATACCAGCAAGAGATAGAAGAGCTGTACAAATGTCCGTGTTCTCTCGACCGCCTCGGGTTACAGTGGGTCATCTTTCAGGAACGTACACCAGATAACATTTACTGTTTCTCCATAAGTTTAGTAGCGAAAAGGAGGCTTCTCTCAACCAACCCTCTTAATAAGGTAATCGTAAAGCGATATAGCCATTATTTACGTACCTGTTTTGAAATTCATTTATTATCATAAGTAAAATTAAAGCCTTGATGAAATGCAACGATGAAACACATGCAAATAAAATTAGTTTTATGATTAGATTTACATTTCTTTAATTAATAGTTTAGTTATTTGAATTGTGTTATTGCCCAATGTTTTTTTTTTAAATGTAAAAAGTAATTAAATAATTATCTTGGAGTAAAGAATAATATAGTCTGACAAAATATATTAAAATGTTAATTAGTCTTTATATAATATCGTGAATACACGTTTACATGCAGTTTTAATTTTTTAGCTGTGTTGCTATAAATGGAATAGACCATCGAACAGCATCGACTGGGAATCGTATGCCATTAGACTGTCGGAGTCAACCCTGATTAACAACTCGCCTGACTCTGGCCATGTAGTTCCTGGCGAACCGGGGTGGTTTGAAGGGGTCACTGAAAGCATGGCCGCCCATCAGTTGTGTTGTAATGGTGCTAATAGTGATAAGCTGTGCAAAAGATTCTACAAAATTTACCCCGATATGGAATGTACCTATGACGTTGAGTTTGTTCCAGGTAAACCATAACTTATTGTGTATTAATTATGTTTCGAGAGTATTGTGATCATAAAGCTGCATTAGCAGCCGTCTGTAAATAATATAATTATTTTAGCTAATTTGAATTCCTTAGTTACTGTTTTATACTAAACATAATTCTTAAGGTAGTCAGGAAATTTGTGGCGTCTTATAAATCTTTTAAATGCTTTACAACCGCCAATTTCCCCACCCCAACCCTATCCCATGCAAAACGTCGAACGAAATGAAATTTATATAATTCATATAGAAAATATATACTTTTAACAGTGTCCGCCCCCCCCCCCCCCCCCGAAGAAAGTTTACCGCCCCCCCCCCCCCCCGAAAATTTCAAGTGCCCCCCGTAGAAAAAAGTCTGGAAGAAACACTGATTGCTGAACAACTGCCAACTCCCACACCTCCAAAAAAACCAAACAATTGAAATAAACATATCATTTTCAGCTTATTTACTGGGTGATCCCACTGTCGTGACATTAGATAACGTCACGTACCTAATGAACGGATGGGGAGAATACACTCTAATGTATGTACAGAGTGAACAATTTTCACTACAGGTAATTGCAATAATATTTTTTTATAATAAATTAATACATTTACAATTAACTAGTAGTATAATAAGTAAAACGTATTTTATCTATTGCAAACATGTAACCCAAAGAATCAGCATGCACTTATAGACATTATATTAAATTAGTCATTTCTCTTAATCTTGCATTGTGTTAAATGCTACCCAATCGTAATATTGAATTGTCCTTGTTTTCTGTTAGTCATGCAAAATAACTTATATGTGTAGAGGTCAGTGACGACGATCACACAAATGGCTTAGGATTATTATTTTTTTAACTCAAGGCTTGGTAATATTTACTATTGTTGATAAGAAATATTATTTGAATAAAGTGATACATAAAAAAGTGTAAGTTAAAGTTAACACATTGCGTACTCAAAAGTATCTTAGTTTATGGTTGAAACGTTAGATAATATGGTGATGGAGTAACTGTATTTGTATTTGGGGAGGATTCAATGAATGTTACAAAATAAATGTACCATCCCTTTAAGGCAAGAACAGACAGGCTTCAGACTAGCAGCGGATTATCGAATGGAACGGTGTTCACGGCTTTCGCTGCCAAGGATGGATTTGGCACTCATGTACAAGTGGAGCTTTCCGATTCAAAGACATGTGAGTTTTTAAAAATGTGATGTACTCAAGATTTTTCAAGTTTTGGTTAATTTACAAAGGACAAAATCACTATTTTTTAAATATAATTAGCTCAAGATACAAATGTGACCAGAGTATTTGTAAAAAGAAAAACTGAAATTTGTAATACACTATTTATATTTATATATTATATATATTACATTATTACATATATCTATATATATATATATATATATATATATATATATATATATATATATATATATATATATATATATACATATATATATATATATATATATATATATATATATATATATATATATATATATATATATATATATATATATATATACCAACTACAACCGAAAGTTAATCCTAACAGCTGTTTTCTTTTAATACAAAATACATTGACCAGATAATTGAAGCGTAATTAGTATTTTTGTTTACTTCTGTTCACTTAATATTTTTAATTAGCAATCAGAGTTAATGTTTAATAATGAATTAAATAAAAAAAATTTGCAATAACAATCACAGGAGCTATTGTATTTTCTATTGCTTTTTAATTTGTTTTAACTACGATTTTATTTTTTTAAAGGTGAAGGGTCACCCAGACAATGGAAAATTGAAAAAAAAATTCACCAAATAAAACCCTGTTATATATACACAGATATATTTGTTACTATAGTTGTTATAATCAAGGAGCTATAAAACACCACGAGTTGCACACGATTTTTATAAATAATTTGACCCAAAACTCTTTTAGAAATGGGGGACTGCAGTTTTCCAAAATTTAGGTTTGTCTTGATAAAATTTACCAAATAGATGTATAACATTTCTGTCTATAGCTGGACCTACCAGAATTTTATTGTGACAAAATTAGAAAAGTTTAGAATGTTTAGTCAGACCCGAATAAAGCTAACTTAAAAATATTCTAAAACATTTAAATTGTAGTTCGTAAACTTAGGAAACCAAATCCCAAGTTTTAATTATGGTATGTAAAGTTTCGGAAAATTGTTTACAATAGATTACGAAAATTTATAAAAAATATTATTACAATAAGAGAAAAGCTTTTGCTTTATATAAACGACACAAAATATATCTTGTATTATAACTGTATTAACATAAATACGATTGTAGAAATTTGAATTGTATGTATCTAATAGATTTTTGGTGAATTATTAATTATTTTGTTTCTCCTTAGTCCCTTAGTCTGTGTGACCCTTTCAATACTACTTGTTTTAATTTCCGAAGTAAATTACTAGGATTTTAATTAACTTTAAAAATAGAATTATAGAAAAATGCAATTACGGAACTAAAATACGGAGCTAAAATATCGGTTTAAAATGTGTCAATCCCACTCAACAACAGCAATGCAGATTCTCGTCAAAGGATCAAATGTGACAGACAGTTTCTATCGTGAAGTGCGCTACAAGTACTCATTTGACGAAGTTGAAGTGATTCGTGATAATAGTGGCAACAAGACGAAAGTTCGTGTTTCATTCCCTTGCGGTAAGTTACTAGCATGCAAATGCATACGCTAGGGTATAATTTGTAAATTGAGAAATGTAAAACTCTAACGTATTCCTACTATTATTGAAAGAGTATCAAATGTTTTATTTACATTTTATAAAACCGTTTATAGCTTGATCCATCATATTATTTGGAAGTTTAAAAATATTGATTTGTAAAAATCAAATTTAATATTTTCTTGTTTAGGAGTTTCATTTACTGTAAATGTTGGAATAAAAAATCTGGAACTAGAGATGCAAGTGGTGAAAACGTTAAAGAACAAAACTAAAGGACTGCTTGGAAACTTCAATGGAAAAACAAACGATGAATTTACCTTACCTAATGGGACAATCCTGCCACCTAATTTAACAGAAAGTCAGATTTTCTACAACTTTGCAAGCGAATGTGCGTTTATTTATATTTTAATCTCCGTAATAACTTGATATTTAAGATTATGAAAATACAGATTATATAATTTCCCTTTTTACTTCTTTTTTATACTTAAATTTTACATGTATCTACATGTTCATTATGTTTGCATTTATCATTAGAATCGCCATCATCTAATTTTACCACTACCCTTCTTTAAATATTGCAGTCATAGGTTTGTTAAATCCACTTTAAAAAAACCTGATCTTTTTATAAATAAACAAAACAAGATTTAATTTTCCTAGACCAAGTTACACCGAACAACTCAGTATTTGTCTACAAGAGCGGAAAAACAGCTTCTGACTATCAACATCCTACATTTGTACCCGTGTTCTTGGATTCCGTCAATGCCACGCTCCTACAGGCTGCTACAAGACTTTGTGGTGAAGGAAACACTGCCTGCATCTATGACTTTTTCATAACAAACGATGCGGCTTTTGCATTGAATACAGGCAAAACATTGAAACAGTCACTAGCTAAACGTTTATTATTAGGTAAGTAGAAAGTCTTTATTGTTGATCTAGATTAAGGGTCGTCCATAAATGACATCACACTCGTAGGGGGGTGTCCGTAATTTTGGGACGGTGTGTTGTGACGTGCGTTTATTAGAAAAATTGTAATAGAAATTGATTAAAACACTCTATGTTGACAGAGTTCAGATAGGATGCTGAAAAAATAACGTCGGGGGGGGGGGGTATACTGAGTTATGACGTCATTTTAGGGGGTCTGGCTTTTTGTGACGATGTGTGACGGAGGGGAGTGGAGGAGGTAAAAATTGTCAAAAAAGCGTGACGTCATTTATGGATGACTCCTTATCCAATATATGTAGCTATTAGCTTTTAAAATATGATCAAATAAGCTGAATATTTCTAAAACACATAAATGCTTCATTGTAACAGGTACAAAAACATGTTTTATAAGCGAACGATAATGACTTAGCACTTAACGTAACGTTGATATTTAAAATAGTGTTGCTTAAAAGCGAATTGTTTCCTTTTTTAACAGCGAACTCTTGCCCAAATATGACAATTGTGCAAAATGTAAACTACTCAAATAAAAGATGGATTGTACAAGATGGAGTAATCAATACTCTACGAATAAGCGGTACAGATGCGGACAATGATTCCCTGACATACATGCTGTACGAGAATGTAACAGGAGTGTCAATTAACCAGAGTGGCTTTCTATTCTATACACCGTCCTTACTAAAACCGGTGAAATTTGGGTAAGTTTTATCAATAGTCCTTGTGTATGCATGTCTGATTATCTTTTGTTAATGGTATTATCTTATACGACAAAGCAAGTTTTAGTTAAAACAATACACAACCTCTAGAGAAACATTCTTGTTAGTGAGTTCTGATAACATTAACGTTCGTATACTGTTTTATTTTATACTAATGCATTCAATTATATTACTAATTCCTATCGCAAAACATCAAAATATCTAAATTAGCACTATATATATATATATATATATATATATATATATATATATATATATATATATATATATATATATATATATATATATATATATATATTAGTTTGCCTGGAAAACCCTATTTTAAAAGTAACCAAAGCCATTTTATGTTGTCAGATTCCGACTAAAAGACTCGAAGAATTGCTACACACCCGTGGTAAATGTACAGACAGCCATCTGCCCGCAGTGCAGAAATAATGGAAGCTGCAATAGGAAGGAAGCGCGAAATGTTGAGTACTTTGGTGGTCAAGTTCAAATTCTAAAGTGTGATTGCCCACCAGGGTATACAGGTACTTGAAATAATTGCATATATTTTTTAAAATGTCGAAATAATCCTAAATGCACTTTTCTTTTGTTAACATGATATTCAGACACCTACAGAGTGTATACATATAAAATAAATAAATAATCTCTTTACGCACCTAAGGATCCATAGGTAACTTGAAGTAGAGTTCACGTGTTTGTGTGTTACATCGGCATATAAAGGAAAAGTTTGATCAGCAATATGCTAAGCCGCGATTACTTTTCTTAACGTAAGTTAGGTAACCATCAGAGCTGGGTAGAGTCAGGTACGTTTCACAGCCTTGAACCCGAATTTAAAACTCCAGGCTTTTTGGGTAAACAATCCAGTGCTCTACTTCAAGTTCACTCTATCCTAAATAAGGTAAGTTAGTACTAACTATCAGGAAACGCATTAAAACCGACCTATGAGTCCCTTCTTTTCATATAGGCGAATATTGTGAGTCCGAATTAGATGCCTGCCTTGCGAAACCCTGTTACAAAGGCAGAACATGTACAGATTTGACGGCAGCTCAGCAAGGCAACAGTACAGTCGGCTACGTCTGTGGACCTTGTCCTAAAGGCTACGAGGAGTTAGAAGAATATTGTTTTGGTAAGTTTTCTTTTCGCTATCTGACATACATAATCCAACACACACACATATATATATATATATATATATATATATATATATATATATATATATATATATATATATATATATATATATATATATATATATGATTTGGAGGTGTTCATAATTTGGGTGTTATCTCTTTAACATGCTTTTTTAGTAACCATATCTGATATCTGTTATGATAAAACATGAACTCTAATTGTGAAGGAATTTTACTAATTTTTTAGACATCGACGAATGCGAAGACAACACAACTTGCCATCAAAATTGTACAAACACTGAGGGGTCCTACATTTGCAGCTGTAACAATGGATATGTTCTCAATCGAACAGACTCCAGATCATGCTTGGGTACTGATAAGATTTTATAAAAGTATCATTATCTTTTTTTAAACATTCACTTTTTATTAAAGTAAACATCAACATGTGCAGCATTGACCGTAGTAAAAAAAAAAAGTGTAATTTATCCCAACTGTCGATCAGTGTTTCTTCCAGACTTTTTTCTCCGGGGGGGCATTTGAAATCTTCGGGGGGGCTGTAAACTTTCTTCGGGGGGGCGGACACTGTTAAAAGTATATATTTTCTATATAAATTATATAAATTTCATTTCGTTCGGGGGGGGCGGTAAAAATTTTTCGGGGGGGCTTCGCCCCCCCCGAAGAGATGCCTGGAAGAAACTCTGCTGTCGATATCATTGGGTATCACTTTTAGATACCCTTCCTACCTGTCGTATTTAATAGAAACAATATACTAATATTCGTTCATAGAAATTCAGACCTTACAACCCGAAATGGTTAATCAAAATGATAAAGGACCTAACAGTAATTTGCATACAAGTATTGAAATTAGAAAATAATATATTGCATGTTAAGGCTGAGTTTGTTATTGTTCACAGCGAAAAACTGCTCCAACAGATGTGTAATGCAGAACACTTGGTATTGCGATGAAGCTGTGGGCGTGTGTATGTGCAAGGACGGTATAACAACAGCCGACTGTCACAAGTCTATGGACCACTGTGTCAGCAACCCTTGTCCGAGCGACCGGAAGTGCAATAGCAATGACCTGGGATACGAGTGTGTTTGTCTGAATGGTCTGCCTCCAGTCAATGGCACTTGTTCAGGTAAGCTGCTTCATTTAATTTGATAATAACTAAAACACACCAGATGTAATGGAAATGTCTCGTCTTAACTAAATATTCTTGACTTAGCTAACTAAGAACTAAACGATGCCGTGTTTGCAGATTTCACCATCAGTAACGTAACTTTAATTTTACAAATCAACTATCAGGTGAACGTCCCAAACTACTAATCATGTATAAATTCAGCCCATAAATAGAATTTATTGTAATATAAGAGAACAATGATTTTTTTTCATATATTCATTACATAATCACGAACTAGATAGAACTTACGTGGATAGCATAACTATTCTAACCGCTGCTCGGTAGATAATTTATATTTCCAAGCTATTTTCACCTGAAGTTTTAAACATGTTCCAGATTGCAATCGAATACTGACGGAGAAATCTGGAAGTTTCATGAGTTCTAACTACCCCAACAACTACCCGGATGGAGAAACCTGCACATGGACCATAACATCAAACGACAATAACTCGATAATTTTGCTGAAGTAATTGTTAGCTTCTAGATCTAACAACATTTATAAAAACAAATACGCAATAACACTAATCGTATACATATACTAATCATTGATAAAACTTACGATAGTTACTATTACCAGAAATTTATTTCATATTGAAAAAGCGTATTGCAATTCTTACAGTATTCATTATAGGAAAAAAGTACGTTTAAAATTTAAATGTATTAACAATACACATATTTTAATCATTAATAATAGGAGATAATCTAAGATTGTATAAATGCGTGACTCACAAACCAAAAGCCGTGTATGCAATGCAAATCTGATACTTTCGAAAATGTTATCAACAGCTTCACTGATTATCAAGTAGAGGGGTGTCCATACGACTTCTTAGAAATTTACGATGGTGCCAGTTACGATTCAGACCTTATCGCCCAGTTCTGCATAGACGGCATAACGGACGTCATCAGTTCATCTGGAAATGCCCTGTTCATTTCATTCACATCCGATGAGTCTGTAAACAAAAGAGGATTTTTTGCGTCTTACATCGTTGAATGTAAGTCAAAGATATAAACTAATCACTTTACTTTGTCATTGAGTTGCGTGCTTTTATAAATTGATCTACCAAAACTTAAATAAATGGCTTGTGAAAAATACGTTTAATAAAATTTGACGATTCTAAGCGTATGTTTAATTGTCTAATGTGTTCTAGCATAAAACTATAATTATTTTATCTTTAGAACTCTAAAAACTAAAACCACTATTTCAAGAAAATCATGTTTTAGTATTTTTCTCCGATTAAATCGTAATAATACTTTTTTGCGTATAAAACACCAATAAATTTAATGAAGTAGTCAAAGTAAATTTTCCGTTTTAGACTATTTTATTCACTCGCATTAAATCACTCGTGGCATTAAGTTTCAATCCATACAAACATTTTGTTGTCGTGACTCTCCAATAAAAATATAAATAATGTAATTTTGTTGCAATATTTTATGAACTCTTTGACCAGAACTATTTTGTAATTATCTGAATATAATATATTCAAGTTAAAATTAGAACATTAAGATCTTTCCACCTACACCTATGTATTTATACAACTGCATTATGTATGCATTATTTTTATTGTACCGAGTGTATTAAAATTATGTTATTATACAGCCCTGTGTAGAGAAAAGAAATGTTCCCATGACTGTAAGCTGGTCTCTGCCAGTCCACGAGTCGAGCAGTGTTTGTGTCCAGAGTGGACAAGACTGGACAGCACCGAGACAATTTGTATCGAGATCAATGGTCAGTTGTGTGCACACTTGTAGTAATTCTAACGTATTATCATGGGAGAGAAGTTAGGGATTATAATTTAGTGTAAGCATTACGTCCAGTGTATATCTTGTGCAGTCTGAAGGCAATATTGTACATAAGTATAGTGTTATACAATGCGTATATTGCTAGGGTTATATACTTAAAATTTTAAAATGTGCAAATTCAAATATATAGAAAAAACTTTATCATTAAATAAACAAAATAAAATTCAGTTAATTATGTCAAATTGTAGTTTGAAACATGTTTTCTCACAATAGCAATTTAGAAGTTTGAAGAATTTCAATTACATAGTAGATTTATTAATTTTATTGCATACTATTAATAAAAACAGCGTGTAACACAACCATAACTGACAACACTGGCCTAATAGTGAGTCCTGGTTACCCCTCAAAGTATCCGGTCAATACAACCTGTCACTGGACCCTACCGTCGAAGCCCCTGAAGGTTCTTACAATCAGGTAGTTAACGTAAAATTAATTTCATGTACAAAAATATTCCATAAAATTATTTCATGATATATTATTCAATTTTGATGACAAAAGTAAATAATAGTTAATAACATAACTATAATTAATAATATTCTGAAAAAAGCGATTGCTGGTAGCGTTATTTTTATGTATTTTAACTAGTACTATAACTACTATATTAATTATTATATTAAAAAATTGTTTATCATCCAATTATTTTAAAAGTACTTTGCTTGTATTGCATTGCAGCTTCTCTGATATGGACATAGAGAATGGGGTTGCCTGTCCATACGATTCACTCAAAGTCTATAACGGAAGTTCCTCAAGCTATCCTTTGGTTGGAAGCTACTGCGGCAGTAGTTTGCCAAAATCTATCAGCTCTTCCAGTGGTCTGTACCTGGACTTCACGTCTGACGGTTTAATCAGTGGTCGAGGATTTAAACTTCAGTACTCTTACGGTGTAAATTAGGAGTATAGTACGCAAATCATTTATATAAAGTACACGCCTACTATTTTTAGTATTTTTTAATGATAAAAGACATAAAAGAAGTAACTACAAAATAAGACTAATACAAAAATATTTTTTTTTATAAATTCCATTTTTATTTACATCTACATTTTTCAATAGCGTAAGCTATCCATAGCTTAATAGCAGGTATTTTCATATCAATTTACTTTTTTGCTTTTGTAGACAAATAACTTAAATGTAAAATAAATGTTTTTTTTAAATGTGTACTATACATCAATTTGTATTTAATTAATCTAAGCTATTTAGCCTTTCTGCCATTTTGATCTTCTTTATTATTTATTCGTTGAAATTCAACTTACACTGGAAACAAACTTGAAATTATTTTTTTTCACACCCTCTTTACAACATTAAATTATCTAATTAATAGAACTGTTGTTTTTTTTCAAACAAAAATATTTGCATGTATAGTTTATATGAATACAATGCTATACATTTATTAATTAAATAATTATATAATCGTTGTCACCGTGATACAAGTTTTTGGGAATACTATTTTTATTTACAAATATAAATAAACAAGCTAAAACCATGTATTGTGTTATCTATCTTCTTCTATATATAAAAAAACAATGTCTGTGTGTGTCGGTGTGTGTGTGTGTGTGTGTGTGTCGTTTATGGATTACTACACCTTTCATACGATCGCCATGAAACCGTGGGAAGTTGTTAAGAATAATCCTTGGGAGGTTCCTGCAAAAAAAAATTCAATTTGCAGAAGTGGCGCCCCGGCAGAGCGCGATTTGTTTTTTCTCTATTAACGGTATATAAAAATAAAAGTCGATCGCCGTTTGACACTGTTCATCAGATCGCCATCAAACTTTGGTGAATTGATTAAAACACTCAAGGGAAGGGTTATATTGAATAATATTTTGTAATTTTGCAAGGGCGGCGCCACGGGAGGATGCGATTTTTCTCCATATACGGTATATAAAAATAAAAAGCGATTGCGGTTTGACATCATTCATCAAATCGCCTTCAAACTTTGGGGAGTTGATTAAAACACTTCAGGAAAGGGTTCTATTGATTAATATTTTGTAGTTTCGCAAGGGCGGCGTCAAGGGAGGATGCGATTTTTCTTTATATGCGATATATTAAAAAAAATACACCGGGAGTGATCTCCCCTAAACTTTCTCGAATATTCTAATATAAAATTACGAGGGATGGCAACTCAGGACATAGACAATATTTGTCATCCCTTTTTAATTACTTAAACTTGTAATAAAAGTGAAAAGTTTCCCTTTCAAACCTAACGGTCTATGGGGCAAGTGAAGTAGAGTTCACTTGCTTCTGTGACCTCGGCATATGAAGAGATAGTGTGGTCAGCACTATGCCCAGCCGCCTTTACTTTTCCTAACAGGAGTTAGGTACCCATCAGACTTGAACTCGGATTCGAACTCGAGACTTACGGGTTAGCAGTCCAGCTCTCTACCGCTAGACCACTCCGTCCCACACCAAGTGAACGCCTAATAAAATGTGTATAAAAGTACGGGATATTATTAGTACTTTATAAATTTCCATGCGTTTTTTAAGAAATCGGAAAGAGCGTAAACTAGTACTTCCGGTCAACGGAAATTACTCAAAATTTGACAGAAGGTAGAAAATTAGATGTTTTACTTACGTGTGAAATTTCATGCATCTATCTAAAATAGTACGCAACTTATAGGCTGTTGAAAAATTCAAAGTAGAAAAAGTACCACTTCCGGTTAACGGAAATCGGTCAAAAGTTGATCAGGATCTACAATTTTAATAAAATACTTATATATGAAATTTCATCAACCTAGTTGTAACGGTACTCAAGTTATCGTGTTTACACACAGACAGACACACAGACACACATACATACGGACAGAATTGCAAAGTCCAGTTTTTACGACTCGATAACTCATAAAACGCCAAAACGTTTATATATTTTTATTTATAATTTTTGCCTGATTAAAATAAGTCCTCTATACTCGGATGTGATGAAGGACTGAGTAGTAAAACGGTAAAAACTGTCAAAATTTCATGTTATTTTTGTGCACGATTACAATACTTTCTCTATACCTCGTATATACGAGAAAGTAATAAAGGTCAGATGCGGTTCAACACCGTTTACCCAAGTGCCATAAAACTTTATGGAGTTGATGAATACTCCCGAGAAGATTTCTGAGGGGAGGGAAGAGGGGGATTTTGCACTGGTGGTCCCCGGCAGGATGCAATTTGGCGCCCTGGTCTTTCCCGTGAGCGCTATGGCGACTACGTTCGTTCTAAATACTGTGATAGACTATAAGATGGAGCGTTATAGTCGCTCAATAAAATTAATCAGTTTTGGCCTCCCCGCCCATCCCCCCCCCCCCAAAAAAAAAAAACCTGACAAGAGCAGCTGAGGACCCTGTAATACGTTTTATTTTAATAATTAGAAAAATTAACCGAAGTTAGATTATCAACTGGGATGTTTCTTTTTGTCCATAAAAATTCCAGTTTTGTCACTTTGCTACTGATACGATGTATCTATTTTTTAGACGATCCAATCAGAAACTGAGACTGAGTATCTAATAATAGACCATTAGTAAAGCTAACATATTGCGTCAGTCACACAGATGTTTAAAATACGTCACATACTTTTTTACGTGTTAAAGAAAAAATCATGTTCATTTGTGTCACTTTAGCGAATGACGCAATCTGCATCATTGCTATTTGGCACTCTGAATTATCCTAAGGCACCTAAGTTATTTTTAAGTAGCCATGGGCAGTACGCGTCTAATGAAGGAAAGCGTGTTGCATGTAAGCCTTGAGTGTTATATCACCATTTATCACTCACCGCCTAAGTGTAGGGTACGTAGTGGGGCGCTCTCGTGAGTCCCTGATTACACTACTATATGGGCTAAGTGTATGTCCCTTGGCTGGGTTCAATCATCAAATGTCATGTGCCGCCTTGTCAATATTGTAGGGTGCTCCTTAAAACTAATGTAGGCACCATATTGCTCACAGGATGGCGCAGGGCGCCAAATCGCACCCTGCCGGTGTGCCGGCGGACGCGCCTAATTATGATTAGTGAACGACTCTAAAACCCCATCTTGTGCATAGTCTTTAGCAATGTTTAGAACGAACGTAGGTGCCATTGCTCTTGTGGGAATGCCCATGGTGCCAAATTACATCATGCATGGGCGCCAGAGGAAGCACCTGATTCGATATAGTTAAAGAGTATTGTTACCCATCTTGTTTTAGTGGATAGCCTCTTTTTAAAAAAAAACGAACGTAGTGCTTACAGCGCACCTTTTGTCGCCTCGATCCTGCTATAGCCGGGTCGCCGGCGGCTACGCCTGTTGAAGTTTTAACGCTGAATATAGTAGTACCTCTTACTCGCTATGCAGATAGCCGCTCTGCAATTCTGTGCGCCAAACTATGTATTGACAAAAATCTCACTTTTCCGGGCGCCGCCCATAAGACATTTTTTTTTCGCAAAAACTAAATTCCCAAAGTTTCATGGTATTCGGATTAACGATGTCGAACCGCATACGACTTTTATATTTTATATACTGTATATTGAGAAAAAATTGCACCCTCTCGAGGCGCCGCCCTTGCGAAATAAACAAAAAAAACATATTTTTTTGCTGAAACCTTTGAAAGAGTATTCTCAGTAACTCCCCAAAATTTCATGGCAATCGGATGGACGGTGTCAATTATCAATCGATTGTTATGTTTATATACCGTATATTAAGAATAATCGAATCGCGCCCTGCGGGTGGCCACCCCTGCGAATTTAATTTTTTTTTTTTTGCGCAAAATCTCCTCTGGAGTATTTTCAACAACTTCCCTAAGTTTCATGGCAAAAAGTGTAATAATGCATAAAAGACAAACACACAAACACACACACACGCACATACTATGCTTTATATATAGAGAGATAAGCTGAACTGAAATAGCCGTAGGTGAAACTAGATTTCATTACTTTTTTGCATGGTTTCGAGAGTGAAAAGCTCTCAGTCGTTATAGATTATATATGTTACGTTCTATGCCCGAATTCGGCCGGACACTCATTGGCCCATTTAACCTCCAATTGACCGGCTATTGTTTGATATCCCTCGTTATTTTTTTAATTTGGCACGCAAAACTCTTGACATTCCAAGGCTAAAGTCTGTATTAAGCGATTATCTGGTGGGGATTACCGACCATAGCCCAAATTTGAGATCATAAGCAGAATTTTGGGTGTTACTATATAGGGCGTCTAACATTAATAAACATTTTTCTATTGTGTGGAGCTACGTTGGAAGAAAGAACAATGATTGAGGCGTTGCTCGTGTAAATATATTACTTAAATACTTATATTTTTGTTCATGTTTGTGTTTATGTTTGTGTTTGTGTGTTTTTGTGTTTATGTGGCTAAATTTACATTTGCATTTGCATTTGCATTTGCATTTGCATTTGCATTTGCATTTGCATTTGCATTTGCATTTGCATTTGCATTTGCATTTGCATTTGCATTTGCATTTGCATGTGCATTTGCATTTGCATTTGCATTTGCATTTGCATTTGCATTTGCATTTGCATTTGCATTTGCATTTGCATTTGCATTTGCATTTGCATTTGCATTTGCATGTGCATTTGCATTTGCATTTGCATTTGCATTTGCATTTGCATTTATGTTAACTTCAATTTTACGTTTATGGTTATGTTTGGTAGACGACGTAGTTTAATTAACATACATACTGCGATGCATACATTCGTTAATGTATAAAAAAGCAATTATATTAATATAGTCTGTGAATGTATGTTCGGTACTCGGCAGTTTAGTTAATTTATCTTAACTGTGAAACGTGAACATTGTTTTAATAAGCAAATTTCAAATTAGTTGGGTTATATAAATAAAGCTCTGCTTAAAAAGAGATACGTGTCAAATCACGATTCTATCATGCCTATAATTGTTAACTATTCAGACATTAAGAGACTAGTCGAATTATAAACCTTATGGCTAATATATAACAAACCATTTTTACGTAGCTATGTGCCTGCCTTACTTATCATGATACTTGTGTGATATCGAGTTGTGAAGATTTTAGTCTGACAAGAAACAACATTCATGGGCTTTGTTTTTCAAATATGGCCTCCTCCATTTTTTATATCGAGTTACAGCGTTGACTTTTCAAAGAATTAACAAGACGGCATTGCGTTCAATCTGATTTAACATGTTAAAGTAGAGTTTCAGCTTGAAATTTTAAAATACCAGTCAAACATTATGTTTGAAGACTAAATTTCAACATACCAGGTTGACTTACCATGGTACTAATCTTTATTTAAAAAAGCAAGGTGAGGGTTGTTTGTTCCTTCCACCAGAAGCACGTTTAAGGTAACCGAAAACTGACCGAGCCTAACCGCTATATTTTACTTAATAAATTAACGTAACTAAGTCAAGAATTCAAACTTACAATTCTGTGACTGGGCACAAAAAAAACAAAAATATCATTTGGATGAAGAAACGATCCTTAAAAATGTATACTTAACTGTTTTCAAATACCTATCTAAATACACATTGATAATGACTGAAAATTAATAATTGTTTGTTCGTTGATGTAGAATAAGCAAAAACGGTAACGACAACTAATCCTTAGTAATCTTAACGTATTGCAGCCAACATCACGTTAGTGGAGAGTTATTTTGTTATTTAGTTCAAGTATTTGAGTTTTTACTAGATGCATCGATTATATTACACTTACCACTTTGTTATTTATTTTTAAGTTATTGTTTTCGGCTTCTAAATAATTACATTTTAAAATAAATAATATTGCTTTGTTATGGCTGTTTTCATATTTTTTGCATTGGTAGTAAGTTAGATAATCTAATTGTTAACCTAGTTTCTTAGTTCAAGTCCCGTTTCTGTTAATAATCCTATCTGAGCTAGAGTTTGGGCGTTGGAAAACATTAGTCTCATTTGAGTACTGATAAATCATATTACAATAAAATGCACTCTGCAAGAATTGTATTATTCACCAGATGAAGGTACATCACATCGGTAAAATTATAGTTTATTTTTTTAATAAGCAAAAAATACAATGCTTTATATTTCATATTTAACAGTAATTTTAAAAGTATTCAAAAAACATATATACACACACACATATATATATAAATATATATATATATATATATATATATATATATATATATATATATATATATATATATATATATATATATATATATATATATATATATATATAATGCAGTATTCAACAAAAATACACTGGTTAATACACAGATTAAGTAGTTTACAGCAAACTATAAGGATATACATTATGTATCCGTAAACATTATAATTTAAAAAGTCCAGTTAGATAAGAAAAGAAAGTATTTTATTTTGTTATGATAAATAACTACATGTATTAAGAAAATGAATAGTTCAACTATACTATTTGTGTTCATAACTGTACTTTTTAAAACATTCTACATACAAACGTAATAGCCAGTTGTTGTAAAACAATTCCTAAAATAACATTTTTCCATTAGAAACCGACAACGTTAACATTCACGGTCAGTTTCCTGTTCATTTATGTTGCTTTAACATTTATGTTTCAAGTTAATCTTTTAATCCTAAGATGGAAAGATTCGCTACAAATATCTTTAACATTAGATTTAAGTTAAGTTTTCTCAAACGTAGTTTGATATACGGCTACTCCAATAGTTTGTATATGTGAACAAAAGCCAAAGCGTTTTTATTAAATGGAAATAAATAAACAATTTTGAATAAGAATTTTTCAGCATTGTAAATAATCTTGAATAATTTATTTTTAAAATAATTCCTTTTTACATTAAAATAATCATGTGCTATTTTTATTTTAAATTTTAAAAGATGTGAATTTGTATTACAACATAAAACTTAAATATATCAAAGCATAATATAAACAGGTAAAGTATAAAGGATTATTTCTATAAAATTGATAGTCATTACTAAATATTAAAATGTACAAAATTGATTCAAAATTTATAACACTGATAATTATGAATTATGCACATATCTTTATTGTGGTGGAATTTTTTTTCCCAAAGAAGATATTCATTGATATGTTAATATTTGAAAAGCAATCTAACATTACATTTTTATGGAACGCAAGGATTACTAAACATAGATATTAGTGTAACCTGTAAAGAAAAAAGGAACATCACTTTATAAAATTATTTAAATATTAGTAAAAACAGAGACTTTCGAAAACTAATTCTTAAAATCTTTAAATACAGCTGACAATATCATTTTTGTTTTGTTATATATTATTGTAGGGTAGGTAATATATATATATATATATATATATATATATATATATATATATATATATATATATATATATATATATATATAGTTGTTGTTTCTTTTTGAAAAATGATCAAAAGCTGTCATACAAACCGTAAGAGTATTGAAGCTTAAATCCCCGACCACTTATTTGACGATCAGACGTGAAGACCAGGTATAGACCGCTAAAGGAGCTGATAGATATTGGCAAACTGCTGCCACAGTACACGCCAAGCAAGGAATTGGACGTTGAAGCTCCACTATAGACTTTGAGTGAATCGTAAGGACATGAGACACCGCCTTCAACTTCAATGTCAGAAAAGCTTAAAGGAAATTATTGGTATTTTATAATGAATTTAAGATTTTATCGTATTTTACATGATGTTTTAATTAACTGCTAACTAATATAATACAATGAAAATAGTAATATTCTTTAACATAGAATAAAATTAATTTAATTTTAAAAATATGTTAACATGTTAACAGGTTCTGTATAAATGAAAAGTTTTGTAGAATCAGTGAAAAAAAAATATAACTATTTAACGTTTTCAAGTATTTACATGAATTTGAAATAAGTCCATTTGCCACAATATATATGTTAATGTATTATCCCACTACCTAATATATGTAGTCATTCTAGCTTTAGGTGGTATACTCCAATAACACGACACGTTCGCTGGATAGTTGCGTGGATAATTTGGGCTGACAATAAGACCGGAACTGTTCGTGACAGTACTGTTACAGGCTGTGTGGACAAAAAATGCAAATCTGGTTAATTTTCTTTAAAAAGTTTTTCAAATTTCAAATATTTTTCGTAACCAATAACATTTTACGCTGATTAGTTCGACGATTCTATATATATAATGTTCAATAATAGCATTGTCTTATTTTCTTTTTGAAAAGAAACCTACCTAGTTGTAATTTTATAACCGCTTAGATACTATACGCATCCCAGACAAAATGAAAACATGCTCCAATTCGATCTAGATAAAACACACTTTAAATAGCAGGCATCCGTAATAAATAACGATTAAACGACAAACATATTACCATTGATCTCTATGCATTTTGTCTGAGTGCTGTCCAGTCTTGACCACTCTGGACACAAACACTGCTCGAGTCGTGGACTGGCAGAGACCAACTTACAGCCATGGGAACATTGTTTTATCCTACACAGGGCTGCAGAAAAAATCCCCTATACTAATACTCAAACACGCATAGACTTACTTATTACATATATATATATATATATATATATATATATGGATATAAAATAATAATAATGATTATATTTATATAACAGTCTGAGTGCTATAAACACGTTTACAATAAACATACTTACGCTCGATAACATAGGAGGCAAGAAATCCTTTTCTGGTAACAGAACTATCTGTTGTAAAAGCAATAAACATCGAATTCCCGGAAGAGCTAATGAGACTAGTCATCCCGCTACTACAGTATTGCCCTAAACGGTTTGAATCCATGCTGTGACCATCATAGATATCGATGTAATCATATGGACATCCTTCCACTTGATAATCAGTGAAACTGTTGAATGTGTGTTAGCTTCAAATTAAATTCGATGCAATAATTTACTGTTAAATATGTAAATTAACATTTTTAAAATCTATAGTTATTTGCTTTTTAAAAATCTAACACATTTTTTAATTTCAAGTTTACTTGAGAACTATTATAGAGTTCGTGTCGTTGTTTCTGATCGTCCAATTGCAGAATATACTGTTTGGGTAGTTTTCAGGGTAGTTGGGGCTCATAAAAGTACCGGATGTCCCCGTTAGCGTTCTGTTGCAATCTAATAAATAAATAACTTAGAGTTTGTCATTTAAGAAAGATTATGGTTTCAGATTGAATTTAAATGGTATTCCAATTTTTTTCTGAATTTGAATACAATTAATAATATACATAAAAGGAACTATTTAAAAATGTGGGTAAATTGTATTATATTTTAAAAAGCCTCTACCTGAACAAATTCCATTGACAGGAAGTAATCCATTCAAGCATCTACATTCATATCCATTTGGTTTACTACTGCACTTTCGGTTTTGTGTACATGGATTACTGACACAGTAATCTACAAC